GAGCTCTGTCTCCCACTTAACCACTTAAGATACCATGTGGTGCAAAGTCCTTCTCCAACACCCGATACCATAGTCCCACTACTTAAACTGTCCAATGTAATTACAAAAAATAACATTGAAAATACAATAGGGAACGTAATAGCCGAATATATTAGGGAAGGCAATTATTTATTACATTATTATTATTATAATAAAAAAGCGCTAAACCACAAGGGCTATACAGCATATTTATTACATTAATGAGGAAAATATGGGGAAATACAAAATTACTTGAAATATTAACACTTTATACGTGTTACTGGGAGGTGAGTTCTGTACCATTAATGGGTATTATTACAATGGGAGAACTGGAAGAAAAAAAATTAGTAACGAAAGGTACACTTACAACAAAGTTTCCACACCAAATCCATTGCACTGGTTTCAGAAGTAGATTTATTCCCTGGAACATTTAAGCGATGTAAAAGATATTTATTACAGGACATTTATTAAAGGAAAGACTTTTACCACGAGTGACTTCTTCAGTCTGAATACAGAGATAACTAAGAGAGGAATATATATATAGCGGCAGGAGTCAGGTGGAAGGTCGCGTAGGAAGTAATGGTAAAATTATGGTGAGATGGGTTGGGTGTGTGGAGGACCTGTCGACATCATGTTACAGCTGTCTCCAGAATGGAAACAGCTGTAACACAAATGTCTTTTTCTGCAACTTGTCCTTATCACCATTCCATTTCTCAGGTCTTTTAATACCATCATCTAAGGTCAGCTCAGTAGCTGCCTTCTCTCCGCTGTAAGTAAGATCCCTCTAATTTACTCTCTGCACCTCACACGTCTCATCATTTCACAACAGCAGAACGATGAAGTTGGTGTGTCTAAGATACACGACTGGATTCGACGGATGCGACAACATCAGCAGTTCTTAAAATCTAATATTATAAGCTAATCCTTGGTTAAAGTAAAACATCCCTAACACCAAACAGCTCCCTAAGGCAGAGGGTTTCCTAACAACGAACAGTTACCTAACACCGTATAGTTCCTCAGCATTCCGGGTCACCTAACTTTCTCTTTTAGATAGTTGAGGCAATAAAAGAAGTTGATGCGGTGTGTGTGAGTGTGTGTGTGTGTGAGTGTGTGTGTGTGAGTGTGTGTGTGTGTGTATGTGAGTGTGTGTGTGTGTGTGTGTGTGTGTTTGTGTGTGTGTGTGTGTGTGTGTGTGTGTGTGTGTGTGTGTGTGTGTGTGTTGTGTGTGTACTCACCTAATTGTACTCACCTAATTGTGGTTGCAGGGGTCGAGACTCAGCTCCTGGCCCCGCCTCTTCACTGATCGCTACTGGATCCTCTCTCTCTCTGCTTCCTGAGCTTTGTCATACCTCTTCTTAAAACTATGTATGGTTCCTGCCTCCACTACTTCACTTGCTAGGCTATTCCACTTGCTGACAACTCTATGACTGAAGAAATACTTCCTAACGTCCCTGTGACTCGTCTGAGTCTTCAGCTTCCATTTGTGACCCCTTGTCCCTGTGTCCCCTCTCTGGAACATCCTATCTCTGTCCACCTTGTTTATTCCCCGCAGTATCTTGTATGTCGTTATCATGTCTCCCCTGACCCTTCTGTCCTCCAGTGTCGTCAGTCCGATTTCCCTTAACCTTTCCTCGTACGACATTCCCTTGAGCTCTGGGACTAGCCTTGTTGCAAACCTTTGTACTTTCTCTAACTTCTTGACGTGCTTGACCAGGTGTGGGTTCCAGACTGGTGCTGCATACTCCAGTATGGGCCTAACATATACAGTGTACAGTGTCTTGAACGATTCCTTATTAAGGTATCGGAACGCTATTCTCAGGTTTGCCAGGCGCCCGTATGCTGCAGCGGTTATTTGGTTGATGTGTGCCTCCGGTGATGTGCTCGGTGTTATGGTCACCCCAAGGTCTTTCTCCTGAGTGAGGTCTGTAGTCTTTGTCCACCTAGCCTATACTCTGTCTGCGGTCTTCTTTGCCCCTCCCCAATCTTCATGACTTTGCATTTGGCTGGATTGAATTCGAGAAGCCAGTTACTGGACCACATGTCCAGCCTCTCCAGGTCTCTTTGCAGTCCTGCCTCATCCTCGTCCGATTTAATTCTTCTCATCAACTTCACGTCATCTGCGAACAGGGACACTTCAGAGTCTATTCCTTCCATCATGTCGTTCACATATATCAAAAAATAGCACTGGTCCTAGAACTGACCCCTGTGGGACCCCGCTCGTAACAGGCGCCCACTGTGATACCTCTTCACGTACCATGACTCGTTGCTGCCTCCCTGTCAGGTATTCCCTTATCCATTGCAGTGCCCTTCCTTTTACGTGTGCCTGATCCTCCAGCTTCTGCACTAATCTCTTGTGGGGAACTGTGTCAAAGGCCTTCCTGCAGTCTAGGAAAACGCAATCTACCCAACCCTCTCTCTCGTGTCTTACTTCTGTTACCTTGTCATAAAACTCCAGGAGGTTTGTGATACAAGATTTGCCTTCCATGAACCCATGCTGGTTTTCATTTATAATCTTGTTCCTTTCCAGGTGTTCGACCACTCTCCTCCTGATAATCTTCTCCATGACTTTGCACACGATACATGTCAGAGACACAGGTCTGTAGTTTAGTGCCCCGTTTCTGTTCCTTTCTTAAATATGGGGACTACATTAGCTGTCCTTCCATTTCTCAGGTAGTTGCCCAGTTTCAAGGAATGTGTTGAAGATTGTGGTTAGAGGCACACACAGCATCTCTGCTCCTTCTCTAAGGACCCATGGGAGATGTTGTCCGGTCCCATCGCCTTTGAGGTGTCAAGGTCACTTAAGAGCTTCTTCACCTCCTCCTCAGTTGTTCGTATGTCATCCAACACTTGTTGGTATATTCCCTCTTGATGTTCCCTTCTGTTCTGTCTTCCCACAGCCCTTCCTGTCTCTACTGTAAAAACTTCCTTAAATCTCCTGTTTCAGCTCCTCACATACCTCCTGATCATTTCTTGTGAGTTCTCCACCTTCTGTCCTTAATCTGATCACCTGGTCTTTGACTGTTGTCTTCCTCCTGATGTGGCTATACAACAGTTTTCGGGTCAGTCTTGATTCTCGATGCTATGTCATTTTCATACTGTCGCTGGGCCTCCCTCCTTACCTGTGCGTACTCATTACGGCTCTGCGACTGATCTCCCTATTTTCGTGTGTTCTCTGCCTTCTGTACTTTTCCATTCTCTATTGCACTTTGTTTTTGCCTCCTTACACCGTCGGGTGAACCAGGGGCTTGTTCTGGTCTTCCCGTTGTTACTGTTGCCCTTGGAATGAACCTTTCCACTGCCTCCTTGCATTTTGTTGCTACATATTCCATCATTCATTTACTGGCTTTCCTGCCAGTTCTCTGTCCCACTGGACCTCCCGCAGGAAGTTATTCAACCCTATGTAGTCCCTCTTCTTTATAGTCAGGTTTTTCCCATTCTACTCCTGTTATTCTCTCCACTTGCAGCTCTACTATGTATTCAAAGCACAGAACCACGTGGTCGCTAGCTCCTAGGGGACTCTCATACTTGATGTCCTCAATGTCTGAGCTGCCCAGGGTGAACACAAGGTCCAATCTTGCTGGTTCATCCTCCCCTCTCACTCTGGTAGTGTCCTTAACATGTTGGTGCATGAGGTTTTCCAGCACCACGTCCAACATCCTGACTCTCCATGTTTCGGGACCCCCATGTGGCTCCAGGTTTTCCCAGTCAATCTCCCTGTGGTTGAAATCCCCCATAACCAGCAACTTTGCTCTGCTGGAGTGAGCTCTTCTTGCCACCTCAGCAAGTGTGTCCACCATTGCTCTGTTGCTCTCTTCATATTCCTCTCTTGGCCTCCTGCAGTTCTGTGGTGGATTATACATCACTGCAATGACCACTTTGTGTTCCCCCGACTGAAGTGTACCTGCTATGTAGTCTCTTTCTCCCGTCTCATCTATTCCTTCCATTTTTCTCGAATTTCCATCTGTTTTTTACGAGCAGAGCAACCCACCTCCCCCCCTGCCCCTTCTATCTTTCCTCATGATCTGGTATCCTGGTGGGAAGATTGCATCTGTTATTGTCTCCATGAGTTTTGTTTCTGTAATTGCTATGATGTCTGGGGACTTCTCATTGATTCTTTCTTGCCATTCCTCATGTTTATTCGTTAATCCATCTGCATTTGTGTGTGTGTGTGGTGTGTGTGGTGTGTGTGTGTGTGTGTGTGGTGTGTGTGTGTGTGTGTGTGTGTTGTGTGTGTGTGTGTGGTGTGTGTGTGAGTGTGTGTGTGAGTGTGTGTGTGTGTATGTGAGTGTGTGTGTGTGTATGTGTGTGTGTGTGTGTGTGTGTGTGTGTGTGTGTGTGTGTGTGTGTGTGTGTGTGTGTGTGTGTGTGTGTGTGTGTGTGTGTGTGTGTGTGTGTGTTGTGTGTGTGTGTGTGTGTGTGTGTGTGGTGTGTGTGTGTGTGTGTGTGTGTGTGTGTGTGTGTGTGTTGTGTGTGTGTGCGTGCGCATGACCTTCGACCTTCCCTGGAGCTCACGCCTGCCTCAGCCCATCTCCAGAATGAACTCAATACTGCTCTACTCCCAGCAGGTAACCTCACCCACACCAATAGGTCGCATAACATTCAATCCCCCTTCCCCTCCCCATTCCCAGTAGGTTGCCAACAAGAAAAAAATGGTCTGTGGAGGCCACGTAATTTGGCGGAACACCTTAAAGAAAAATTTACATTTTTTTCATTGTGTCTTTCCCATTGTGTTTGCATATGTTGTCGGTAGGTTAAAGACAAAGTTGGTCGATGAATCAGCTTTGCTCTAAACCAGATCATTTCGAGAATTTTATTCTGTTCATTGACATATTATTGTGGAAAAAATAATATATTGAATGCTGGATGTGCCACTTGCAGATCGAGTGCCATTTAATACTAATCCAGGAAAAGATAAAAGTGGCACTTGGTATTAAGGTGCAAAGCAATATTCACTGAATTTAATTTTATTATTTCATTTGCAGGCAGAGTGCCAGGTCCTGCATGTCTTCCTTCACTACTTTCTTGTCTCGAACTACTTCTGGATGTTTTGCGAAGGTCTCTATCTGCACACACTCCTCGTTGTCGCCTTCGTCGCCGAAGACAGGATCATGAAGTGGTTCTTTCTCCTGGGCTGGGGAGCTCCCATCGCCCTCACCATCATATATGCATCGGCAAGAGCCGCTGACGCAGCACAGAATGTCCAGTGAGTGATATATAAATATAGTGTGTGTGTATTTCTGTGTGTGTGTGTGTGTGTGTGTGTGTGTGTGTGTGTGTGTGTGTGTGTGTGTGTGTGTGTGTGTGTGTGTGTGTGTGTGTGTGTGTGTGTGTGTGGAGGGAGGGAGAGAAACGTCCGTGTTTAGCGAAGTTATGTGTGCATAAAGTGGGTTAATGTTGCTAGTAACGATGCCAAAACGAGAAAAGCATAAACCTTGCTAATTAATAACCACAAGTAGTTTAAAAAAGACACATGAGCAAAGACTGGCACATACTTACTAAAAAACGTTTCTGCCCTGGGTCGCTGATCAAAGTCTTAGGACAGATACATGTTCTAACATATCCCAGAGTTTGCTCATGTCTGCTTTAAGCCAAAACTGGAAATCATAAGATTTTTTTTTCTTCATTATCACTTCCTACATATTATTATTATTATTATTATTATTATTATTATTATAATAAAAAAAGAAGCGCTAAGCCACAAGGGCTCTATGTAAATAACAGATTTATTCATATACATACTAATGTCCTTGTTTTGCATCGTTATAGTAATTCCAGTTCGGTTAATTTTTTCCTAAGCATTCCAGATAAGAGTGACTTATGTAGTTCTCTCTCTACCCCTTCTCTTCGTTACCCCTTCACGCTGGTGAAGGGCTCTTAATGCATGGAACTGGAGCTGCTCTCTACTTCCATGAATTAAATGAAATTGCATCCCTTTTTCCATTCCCTGAAAGCAGTATGATCCCCTAAGAGTTTACCGCTTCCCCAGAAATATAATAATAATAATAATAATAATAATAATAATAATAATAATAATAATAATAATTACTACTACTACTACTACTTCTACTACTACTACTACTACTACTAATATTATTATTAGTAGTAGTATTAATAATAAAAATAATAATAATAATAATAATTACCTTATTTCCATCAAGGATATTGACAGAATTATTTGTTTCCACTGTATCTTAAGATATTTCCCCTCGTCGCATTCGTATTGCAATGAACTTCTTTTATGTTTCATAATAATTATTATATTTATGGGGAAGCACTAAACCCTTTGAGGTGCTGCTGTGTCTGGGGAATGTGAGATAATCAAGTTTAAAGTTAAGAAAGACAAAGACAGCACCAAATCCTTGGTGGGTTAAGAGCCTTTCACTGGCATTATATTTTTGAATAAACGGAGAGTGGACGGGGGACGCTAACTGCCCTCTGTAAATTAACGGTCCGACGCTCTACCGTCTCCACTACCGCGGTTCGAGCTCTCCCGTTCATTTTTCTGTTTATTCAGTGACAGTTGTTTACTACAAATTATTCCGAGTTCATGCCTATATGCATTAACTTTTCCTTCCTTCCTTCATAAATCATCTTTCCAATATCCATCCCACGTCTATCTTGTCCCGTTGCAAGCTCTCGCATCCCTCACATTAATAATCCTTATTGCTTCCTCACGACAATTTCCTCTTTTGTGGACAAAGGCATAAATATGCGGAACAAACTTTTTTTTCACGAATAACCAAAACATAGAAAATTTTAGATTGACGTTTTGGTCCATCCCGAAGCAATATCAAGTGAAAATATGAAAATACTACAGGATGGACCAAAATGTTGTCTAAAGTTGCCTCTTTTTAAGCGTAAGCTATTTGTAAATTGTTTCAGATACTGAATTGTGACCTGTTCTGCATACTTGTATTTCGACTGCGTATCAGTTGTTAACCTCGTGCATATCCTCTTCCTTTCCTCAGAGCTTTCTTTTCTGTTAACTCCTCGTATTTTTTCTTCATTTCTCTTATCTCAACATGCATTCTTTTCCCTTGTACATGCTCTTCCCTCACATATTCTCCTCCGTCTTCAATATCCATTAGGTCCACTTCACTTTAAAAGCCATAATTCCTGCCATCCTGTAGTGGCTAAATATCTCCTTCAGCGCCTCATGCCCATTCAGAGAGGATAGGATGACCCTTCGGCATAATACCTCCCTCATCATCACATCTCCTTCAGCATAATACCTCCTTCAACGTCTCACGCCTATCTCTCTCTTTCTCAGTTGCTGGATGGAGGACGGGGCGTACAACTACATCCTCAGTGTTCCAGTGGTGCTCTCCATGCTGCTTAATCTCTTCTTCCTGGTCAATATTGTCAGGGTGTTGGTGACCAAGCTGCGTGCCGTCAACACCTCCCCAGACACACACTCCACCCGCAAGGTCAGTGCTACATCGATCACAAGGTCAGTACTACATCAACGCACACAAGGTCAAG